CTCACCTTTCTCTGTCTCCTTCTCTCCTTCGCACCCACCAACAAACCTACTTTTATCTACTTTTATTATTCATTTATTTCATTTATATGTTAGATTAAAATCCAGTGCAATCACAGCTCTGCTCCAAATTGTGTCTTAATTTTAAGTGAAATCTTTCTATTATAGAGATACAGCATTTTCCTAGAACTTGAGGTTGGTTCACACACAACCTTGGCATGGAAGTTACCCACCCACAAAGAAAGCACAGGAATAAGCTTGGGCTGTGTCATTCTACCCACTATTTATATATCTGGTGTGCCCACCACATGACTGTTGGCTTCAGTATTTTGCATCTTGAAAAATACAGTTCTTCTCACACAAGCGTGTATTCATGTTCTGAGTTTTATTTGCCATGGGGAAGTGTCAGGGACTGCTATTAGAAATCTTCCATGATACAGTCAAGAATGATAGTTCTTCTGTATTTTGTTTTTGTTTAGTTCTACTATCTGCTATAGAGTTCCAGTGCTGTGCTATTACTACTACTACTCTTTAGCATTCACATGCGCCTTTTAAGTGATCAAAGGACGCCACATATATGATCTCAGCTGAGATACAGCGGTTTGTCTAATCTGTGTGGTTTGCTCAACCAGCATTATATTTTCAAACAGAAACAAGACTCTCCTACAAGTGCCTTCCCTACTAGCTTGCCATTTTTAAAAAATCTTTCATTGTATATAAAATATTTTGGAGGCTGGTTTCTTTTCTCCTCTGCTATGCTAGAATGACTGTCTTTATAAAGTGATAGGTCCAGTTCACAGCTGTTTTACCACTGCTATAATATTTGCCCATCCATTAAATGCAAGTGGACATCATGTGGAATATTAGGACTATTGTGCAATGCATAATATTTGGTTGGGCTGCACTGTCATTGCACAGAAAGGTCCATGCTGAAATTATTGATACACTAATTTTATTCCTGGTCCTCATTTTTAAGCAGAAACAGATGAATTTCAAAACAGCACTACAGTAGACCCAGTACCATTATGGACATTCATCATTCTGCAAATATATAATTATGCTAAGGATTTACAATTTTCATAGAAAACAAAATATAGGAAAGATGATTAATTCTTATAACACATCACTTTCCCTCTATATCTAATACTTTTCCATTTTGTTTAAGCTGGCAGGATTCATCTACGCCTGTTATGTTGTGAAATGCATCACCGAAGAAGAGGACAGCTGTAAGTAGTAAAGGTTTATTACATGACGGTTGAAGCCATTTCTTACATCATCCATCTCGCTCATCCATTCCACTCCGATATCATTCTGAATAATTTGTCATACTGTGAAACCAAGACTGGGGTTTTATGTCCAGCATGTTGGATCTAAACCAATCTGCAACTGCTTGAAGCAAATGGAGAGAGTGGGGAAATGCAGTGTTAGAAAACAATTACTTTTCCTGAAATAAAACACTACAAAACAACCCCTTCACCTACAAATATTTTTCACAAGTGCAGTCTGTTGTTATACCATTGGTTTACACTGGATGTTCAGCTCCTGTAAGCTGACTGTTGGCAAGAACTGGCACATCAGTTCAGTATAAGACTTCTACATCATAACACTGACGTCAGGGAGACCTTTAAGTTCGTACTGCTTCCACTATACAATTCAAAATTGCCAAGGATGGGTTTTTAATGCATTTGGGATTCTCCCAGGTAGGTTTAGGAATGCCATCTTTCAGGTGGGGCCTGGGGATCCCCTGGAATTACAACTCATCTCCAGACTACAGAGATCAGTTCCCCTGGAGAAAATGGATGCTTTAGAGGGTGGACTCTGTGGCATTGTATCCCACTGAGGTCCCTGTCCTCCCCAGGCTCCATCCCCAAATCTCCAGGAGTTTACCAACCTGGATCTGGCAACTCTGCCCCCGCATCCCCTGCTGGTGGCCAGTGGGTGACCTGCCAACCTTACCAGCAGGCGGCAGAGCAGACACAGTTCAATTACATTAATTTTGCTCTTACTGTTTGAATAGCTACTAATATTGTTCAGCTTGTCATTAATACCAGTCATGCAATCTGTATTTACATTTTTACCATTCTCCCATATTGTAAAAAGAAGACTATTAAAAGCCTATACAAGTACTGGATTAGATCCCTTTCATTAAGTGAGCAATCCTCCTCCAAAGATGATTCCTCACTTAGCAGAAGGGGACCATTGGCTCAAACCTGTTATAAATAGTAGAATATTGTAATCATCAAAAAACTTAACCACCATAAAATCAAAAACATGTTCTTCTTAATAATAAGAGCTTCTCTTCCCTAGTAGTGTGAAGGTAGGCCCCACATAAGAGTGAGCCAAGCTGGCAAAATGTGGTGTACACCTCAAAGAGAAACGTTATAGAATTATATTGGGAAATCAGTTAAGGATAGAGACCTACAAAGGGAATCGAAACACAAGTGGTATCACATCCCCTCCCTCTTTGCCTTGCTTTCTCTGGTTTTAATACCATAAAGTTGTAGTCATTCTAATGTCATTGGTATTATTAGCTGTAACAATTTAAAACCACTAAAATGTCAACACCTATTTTTTTCTCGGTGGGATATAATCTTACCCGAGGATCTTGTTTTTCAGAAATCTTATTAGAGCTACATTTTCTTAAAATTGCTCAGTAATTCTGTTACTTTGAAATATTTATTTAATCAGTTTAAACTCTTTGCAATTTGATTCCTCTCGTACAAGCTTTATGTCAGGAAAATCCAACAATTTGATAGGGAGTTTTTGGGTGGTTGGTGTTTTTTTTTTTTTTTAAACAATCATTAAATATTTAGTTGTTTAGTGAAAAGCTCTGGAGGGTCATCAATAAAACAACAGACTTGTGGGATTTGTAGGTTACATGAAATTAAAAGACAAGCCCAGCTACTTCACTGAATTGTGCCTTACCAGGCTCTTCTCTGTTCAGGGAAGCAGAGTTTGTAGGAAACTGGCATGCTCCAAAACTCACAACCATGGTTGTATAAAAAGTACAGTGCAGGGGGCCAAGGAGACTCCATATTGGTTCACACAGCCATAGTCTGTTTCAGTATCCTTGATTACATCTTCGGATGAATTTTCTCATTTCACCCAGGCAGTGTTATTCAGGTAGAAGTTTTCAAAAGCATACGGGTTTTATTGTATTTCAGTGTATTGTTATGTTTCTTAATTTTCTATCATCTACACAGAATCATAGAATTAAAAGTTTAAAGGGGCTATGCAGGATGGAAGATTCTATTTCTTCCTCCTTTTTGTCTTGCTCGAAAAAGTAGCCATTAATCAGTGTCACCATGCCAATCACGGTCTGTGCTAGGTGTAGCCCCTTGTCCCTTTCCCTAACCCAAAATCAAACTGGGAGGAATACTTCACTAATAGTGCAGTCCTATGCAAAGCTGTACCTTTCTAAGCCCATTTACTTCACTGGATTTAGAAGGGTGCTGCAAACTTTATTCTCATTTTCCTGGGAATAAATCCCATTTATTATTTCTGAGTAAAGATACAGACATTCAGGCAGAAAGCAATATAATTTTTTAAAATGCCTTAAATTGTGCAAGATTTTCTTACTTATTTCTTACTTACTGAAGATATTCTAGGGACCCAAATACGAATGCCTCAAAATAGAGATAATCACAGTTTCTTACATATTTGCTTAATTTACTTTACAGAGTTTCATTATTTTTTCTCATTCACTCTATTGCACTCACAACTAGGCTTGATTAAATAGGTTACAGGCGAGTAAGCAGATTTTAGTGCAATCTTTCATGGATCCAGCATTTCATTGACGCTGGACTCTCTGGTGTTTCGTGTGCAACTTTAGCTAGCCAGAGATTCATAACTGGTGGTGGGCCTTTTTTTGGTGTGCTAATTTGGCATGTGTAGCAGCACTGTACACATATTAGAATAGTTTAAACAAGATGCTGGGCACGTGTAAGGTCACACAGTTAAATTCTTCTTTGCCTGCTATCATCCTGTTTAAATGATGGGGCTTGATTCTGGACTTCTTCCACCTTTCAGTCCATGCTTTTGAAATATGCATTTTAATTTGCATTAGTGATTGTAACATCAGGTCCAGCCATTGCAGTTATTCCAGATTAATTGATGAACAAACAGTTGTGACTTTATGCATGAGACACAGGGTTGCCAGGTCCTGTCAGGGAAACTCCTGGAGATTTGGGGATGGAGCCAGAGGAGGACAGGGACCCCAGTGGGATACCATGCCACAGAGTCCACCCTCCAGAGCATCCACTTTCTCCAGGGGAACTGATCTCTGTAGTCTGGAGAGGAGCTGCGATTCCAGGGGATTCCCAGGTCCCACCTGAAAGCTGGCATCCTGATGAGACATCTGAATAGTTAACCAGTTTCAGATCTAGTTGGTATAGGCCTGCCGTCCTCCAGGTGGGGCCTAGAGTTCTCCTGGGTCTCTAGGCTGCATAGATCAGTCCCCCTGGAGGAAGTGGCAGCTTTGGAGGGTGGACTCTATAGCACCACATTCCCACTAGGCTCCTTCCCCTCCTCAAACTCTCAGGCACCGGCCCCAAATCTCCAGGAATTGCCCAAGCGGGAGTTGGCAGCCATGAGTTTGTGGCACTTTTGCAGTCAAAAACAATGCCAACATGTTTTCAGAGAATGAAGAAATTTCATTTCTCTAGAGTTAAATTCCAAAAAATGATCTCTGAATACCATACAGTGCTTACGTAAAAGTGTGAACATGTAGCCAGGTATTCACCAACTACTTCATACAGTATTCTCTCGGAAGCTCTGATCTATTTCCTATATAGTCTTACAGAATTTTAAACAGTTGCAATACTATGTGAAATGATTGAAAGTAAATACACGGAAACAGAACCTTTTATTTAAAAAGCTTTAAGGATACAGAAATAGAGAGCAACCATTACACTGTCAGAGAGCAGTTTGATATTTGGATCTGTGTTTCTGTTTTGTATGCAGTTTTCCCCTCAGGGATCCTTTTTATGTTGCTAGAATAATTCAAGATCATGCAAAATTTGCAGCCTAACGACTGGAATGCCATGAGATGACTATCGCTTACATTATTTTGGTCCTCTAAATGGTTCCTAGGGGCAGGAAAAAAGCATAGAAAAACCAAACATATGCATGTATTCCTTTAATACAAATACAACACCTCATATATGATAATATTTTCCCAGCAGTTCAGCAAGCCTTTGATAAGAAGCTGATGTAGGTAAACTAAGGTTAAGTGGCTGAAACAAGATTGTAATTTTGCATGCTGCCTCAGCTCAGTGACACTCCCTGTGTATATTGCTGCATGCTGGAGAGCTGGCCTCTATTATGAGGTGAAGTTCAGGTCTCAACTTTTGAATGGGAGAGGTAAAAATTTCCAGGGTCTCCCCCCCCCCCCCAGTAATCCAGATATCTTGAATTATATGCATAGAAATCTCAGCTTTCTACCTGTTGCCCATATATGACTGAGCTCAAGCCTAAGCCCTGCAACACAACTGTAGAGCAATGGCAGTATAGCCAACACTAGGGTTGACGAACAATGCCTGGAAACCAATGGGAAGGTTGCAGGGAAGGGGCATCCTGGGAGAAAAATTAAAAAGAAAAATTAAGTGCACTCTGACCATAGAGTTCCTGGCAATTCCTAGAGCTACCTGGAAGTAACTAGTCCCAGCACTTGCCAGAAACTCTATGGTAAGATTATCATAGAATTTCTGGTCATTTCTAGAGTTAACCTTGTCACTTCTTGGTAGTTCTAGGAATCATAAAGAACTCTATGGTCAGAACTTCTCATAAGTAGCCAAGGTTTAATTTTTCTTTTTAATTTTTCTCTCAGGATGCTGTCCCTGCCACAACCTTCTTATTGGTTTCCAGGCACTGTCCGGCAATGCTAGCATTGGCTATAGTGACATTGCTTAGACTTGTGTGGCTTTTTAATTCCCCCCTCAGGACAATCGCCCCCTCCTTTACCCCAGTTTCCACCCACTGATCAGCTGAGGAAGAGCTGCAATTAGCTGGAGGTCTCCCGACATAAGCAGGCAAATGGAGATCCTAGCAAATACTCCCATGTCACCTGGACATAGTAGCAGCTAATCAAGACAAGAGATGCCAGTTCATCTCCCTCAAGTAATCCCACCCCAACCTTCCCACAGAATGTAACAACGGGGTGGCGGGGTGTGTGGCACAATAATAGCAGACGCCTTTCCCAGCTCTCTGGGAAAGTGTACCACACAGC